CATCTGAATGGTTTTCCCCATAAAGTTTGTTGGTGAACACTTAGTTCTTGACTTCTCACCTCCCACATGCAGGATCTGCAGTTTTGCCTGAGCGAGGACTATGGGGCAGAGCTTCTGTCTTCTCCAATTAGGAAACCAGTGAACGCCAGTCCTGGACTTCTGGCTGGAGTTAAAAAATATCCCATCCAGTTCACAAGCTGGACAGGAAATACTTTGTATGGAAGTACTTCTACATTACCAAACTTGTAAACATTTCCATAGTCTCTTTGCTGTTTAGCATCTTGAACAACTGTAATTGTATGGCACAGCCTGCCTTTGGGTCAGGAGGGAAGGACTTGATGCCACATAACTGCCTTTTTCCCTTTCAAGTTCCCTTGAACTTGCAGCTTCTCCCTGCAACGCCCCTCTGACCATTTTGTTGCCAGGCAGGACTTGGCCCTGAAACTCAGTCAAGCGTGATTCAGCATTTAATTGACACACTGGAGCATAAAACCCGCCTTTGCTCACTTTCAGATGCAGAGTACAGGTAGTTTCTCTTGTTACAAGGTAGATCTGGGATTCATTTATTTTACAGGTCAGCATGATATGCCAATTTGTGGCTGATTGGTAGGCATGCAGGGAGCAAAGAGCTCAGTAGATGCTCAGGTACCCAACCAGATGGGAGACATTAGGGTGTAACACCAGCCATGGAGAAGGACATGGGGTATCACATATAACTTTTCAGATACATAGAAAATGCATTTACATATACTTTGAGCTTTAGTGGTTATATAAATGAGGTGTCGCAATATCAGAGTGGTGATAATCCACTTGAATTCCTTGTTAATCTGTTTATATAGTAGTTGTATCATAGTTGTGTTAATGGGTGGTGTTTCCTGAAGAAAGTCAAAGCTGTTTTTTAGCGATTTAGGTCAGTAACAGCCAGGGAAGTGTGTGTCTGCTCCTCATGATCATCAAGAAAGTCTTTCCGAAAGGGAATGGGATTGACTTGGCAGCATGTTGAGTTGTCACAGTGCCCAAGGCCTCAGCAGAGCTCCTGACATTCCCAAGGCAGCAAGGTCATCTTGAAAGCACAATTGCGTTTCTCTGGCATTGTTTAGGTTAATATCCTGAGAATGACTTGCATATTTCAACCTTATGATGGGTTAATCATTAATTAAGATCTTACAAAACTGAAGTCAGAAACCAACAGTCTAGGAAAATGAAGAAATTATCTTGTAAAGTGTCTAGAAAAAGCTGCACAGGTTCATTTTAATCTGGGGTAGGGTGGATAAAGGGAAACAGAAACACTTTCAGTGTGGCACAGTTCTTCACCTCAATTGGAAAATACTGTTTTTGTGAAGGGCATGTCTCACATCTGAACACCTGTAGAGGGCCATGGCTTGATGGTGGTTTCTTTCTTATTCAAGTGGATGCAGGTGGACCTCAAGTGAGTGGAAAGGTCAGCAACGAATTGCGGGGAAGTTAGTCTTCTTGTGCAACTTGATGATTTATCTGGCAGGTAAAGCCCTAATGGGGCTACATCTCCTTTAAGGCTATTTTTAGCATCATGTCAATTACCCATTCCCTGAGTAAGACAGATTGACCTGGTAGTGGAGATGATTTCTGGGACACAGACTCCTAAACCAAATCTGCAGTATTTATATAGGGAAAACAGGCAAATTCAGGTGACTCTATCGTGACTTTGTCCCCACCCCCAATTCCTACAAAAAATTTGAAAATGTGTTTTCTTTCCTTTTCCTTGCAGTAAAAGAAGCATAAAGTCCACTGTCCTAATTGCAATATGAGAAATGATGCTAGAGGTAGGAAGTTGCAGACACTTACTTTCTTATGAGGAACATAGAACCTCACGCATTATTTACTCTGATCTCCTTCTCTTTCCGATATTCACTAGCAGTAGCCCCTGCATCGGTGGCCAACACCTTTCCCATATCTCTGCTCTGCCTCAGTTTACATCTGCTTCCTCACACTGCTCTTCTCTCCAGACTTGGTGTTCACAGCAGATTTTTTCTGGGTGGACTTACACGTAGGAAACAAAGAGCCAGGGATTCTGGAGGATTGCAGCTACTGCCAAGAGGTGCAGCTTAGCTTTCTGTGCATTTAAAGGGTGGAACAACCTGAGATGAAAACAACATGCCGATCCACAGCACTTCTGCCCCGCAGCAGGGACATGAAACAGAGCTACAGCAGATTTGTGCACTGGGTGGATGGAAAGTACAGAGAGATGCTAGCTTCAGCATCATCCACATCCAGACACTGACCCTAAACAGGGTGTGAAAAGAGATTTGGGCTTATCAGAGGCTGCTGGAAGAATGGTGAAATGCCCAGCGTGCCTGCTGGGAAGGTCACTGTCCTCTGCTGGTAGTGGGGTGAGGGAGCCAGTGGGACAGTGCATCTCATTCATCTCCCCTCCCTGCAGGAGCCAGCGGGGATGCTGATTGTGATGCCCCATTCCCCTCCTGCCCTGAACACCCTTTTCCCAGCTTGAAGGGGAGCACAGCCTTGGTGGCGTGGCTTAACCTGGCAATGGGATGTTGCAATGAAATAAAAGTCTCCATTTTTAAAGAATACTTTATTCACTACATCCTAGAAATGTACCGTAAATGGAGCAAGAACTAAACAAACTCAGAGGCTTCTGACAGTACAGAGAACAGAGATAAAATAAAACACCTAAAATATCAGCTCTTTTGAGAATAAGGCACACTAGTTTTGTTTTATTTTTTTATATATTTTTTTCTTTGAATAGTTTGTTCTTAATCTAAAGATGTTCACATTTCAAGTTACCAGACTTACCTCAGTAGTAGTGTACATGAAATGGTTTAGAAGCAAGTGTAAAAGACAGGCACAGGTGGGAGGTTCAGTGTGACCCAACTGCCTGTGTTCCTGGGTCCTGCCTGCTCCTGCCCTAGCACAGGCAGCACCCTCTGGCACCTCAGGGTTTGCCTTCGTTGGCTCCTTTCTCTCCCTGACACCGGCAGGAAATTGGATGAGTGGGAAAGAAATCATCACCCTTCATCCCTCCTCTCTGGGTCAGCAGTAGCATGGGGCTGGCAGAGACCCAAACCACTAGATTGCGTTTTCCTGACCCCTTGGGTGTTTGTGCAGAGCCCATGGACCCAGGCTTCCAAGAGCGCCAGAGGAGGCAGAGCCAGCCTCCCCACTGGGGCTTCCCTCTTGGGGCTGTACCCAAATCACCTTGTCTTGCCCTAAAAAGAGGCAAGGCCCCAGGGCTAAGGTCTGTGCTTTCAGAAACACAGGGACAGACAATAAATTCTCCTGGGAAGGGGTGCGGAGGGGCAGAGTCCAACCTAATGGTTAACCTCACAGTGCTTTTGCTAATGGGACAACAGGATTAAGAACTCAGCTCAGCTGAGCAAGAGCACCTGAAAACCAACCGCTCCATTTTGAGGCAAGGAAGTAAAGTGTATTAAAAGGTCGCTTAACTGAGCTGAACGTGATCTGGAAGTGGTTGAGTTGTCATAATATACCCAAATACAAAACCCCTTGGGTTGGTACTTATACCACAAAAGGTAAAGGAACATTGTTTACTCACTCCCTGCTTCGCACCTCATGTCACCAGAGCTGTGTTCGCAGGGCTGATGATACACTTCATACAATGGGCAAGATATTTCTTTACCATTTTACTATATCTTACGTTCACTGCACTACTAAATAAAAGCCTTTAAACAGGCCACAAAACACTGCAATAATATATTTACTTCTTAATAAAACAAACTTTTTTATAACATCGCAATAAAAGGTTTTAGTTTTGTGGCAAACCACATACCATGTAAATTTGCAACATAAAATGACTTTAAAAATGTATATTAAAACTATTTACAAGCTCTATCTTTTAAAATCATTGGGTCTAATCGCTCCCAGCCCTGATGTGCATGTACAACTCCAGTTGTGGAGAAGGGGAATTAAGCATGGAAGGGAGGCCAGGAGGGAGGCTAGCCCTGTTTCACTAATTCCAGTATCACTACCACCCCTAGTACCTCAGGAATTTCTCATGGAACATGATGGAGCGATGGGTAAGTCACGCTGCGCATCGTCTCGGTGACAGCAGCATACATTCTCAGTCACTACAACATATACTTCAAAGAATAAAATAAAACATTGAAAGAGAGCCTAGCCTTTATACTGGATGAAGATCTAAGTCAAGACACCTCGCGTGAAATATCGGCTACTTGCTTCTGTACGTGCACCAATCACGAGTAGAAAATCCAGTTGTTAAGGAAAGCTCAGAGCCTTTCCTTTGCTTAACACAAGCCTTCAAGTCACATTGTGAAGAGGTTTATGTGAGGAGGCTTTTTTTTTCCTCTTTCTCCCAAATGGGCAATATTAGTTACTTCTGATTTGAAATAAGAACGAGGAGGTTGTGTTAACGCCAGCACAAAAATGCAGAGGTCTTGCACATTTTTCAAATTGCACTTTCCAGTATAACTTTTTAAATAAGATACTTGTTGTTTTTTTCTTAAAAAAAAAAAATCTAAGGTATGTATTCTTTAAATATTGAATATAGTCTTCAAAATATATCGTTAAAACTTTCCCTAGCTGCTCAGGTGTGCTTTTTAATATATAGCTGATATATTATTAAAGGCACTACAAAATAGACATCTCTGGAGTGCAGAAGTTACTAAAAAATAACCTTCATACCACAAATATATTGAAAATATAACTGCTAAAAAAAAAAAAAAGACCCTATGCAACCCCACTATGATGAGTATAAACACACGTCAGCAGTGGGCTGGATGCATTGAGGTCCTTTAGAAATGTATGAATACAGGCGTGTTAAACTTTAAAAATAGCCTAAAAAAGTTAGTGAAAACTTCAAGCGTAAAAAATATTCCAAACACATTTTTCTATGACATTCTTCACTTCCTGCATCAGTTTTACCAATCCCAAGTGTTTTGTCTTTCGCAGAGAGTTCTTTCTTCATAAATAGTAAAGTGTTCCTTCAGTGTGTGTTTCTCCACCACCCTCCTCTGCCGACAGTCTCAGTACGTCTGGTAGACATCGTGGATGGGGACCTGGATGGTCGCAGCTGGGAATGCTGGGGGGAGGTATCCAGCGTACCCACCATAGGCAGCGGCGGCACGGGCCGGGGCTGTAGCGTGGCTATTGTTGCTGTCGCTGCAGCGGGCGCTGCGAACGGCACATAACTTGTCCCATAAATCCCAGTGGCAGGGATCCGCTGCACATTGGGAGCCATGGTGTACACCGGTGTGATGGGGCGGCCCTGGGAAGAAAGCATCGGGGTCAGACCTCAAAAAAAGAGCTTAAATTGCTGCGATATTTCGTATCCACCTCTTGAATTGCAAACCCCCTAGAAGGGGAGGTGATAACCTCATTCAGGGTGGGCAGCATTTGCCTTGTTGTACAAGAGTTATTCTATTATGGGGGTCTGTTCCCTACCTTCCAGATTTGGGTTCCCCATAGGAGGGAGACCTGTCCAAAGAGAGATGTCTAAAACAAGTCAGTTGAGCTACAAGGCTGTTGGGCACTGTTACATCCTTGACAGTCATTCCTGGGCAGGAGCAGGCCAGGTTTTCCCCCCACCCTGGGTATGCAGAGCAGGATGTATGGGAAGCAGGATGTGATGAACTCACCTGGAAGGGGGGAGGTGTTGAGACAGCCGGTATTACAGCTGCTGCTGCGGCTGCTGAAGCTGCTGCACTAGCCGGGTCCTGCTGGACAGCTATAGGGTTGATGATGTGTTCAACAGTGTGGATTTTGCCATCTTCCATCATCTTGGCTGGTGGCGCAGCCTGAAACATGGAGTACTGGGCACCAATGGCAGGGATGGCCACTAGGAGAGACCAGACACATCAGATGCGTTGGGAGAGGGTTAGCAGGACCTCACCTCAAAGAGCCCTTTCTGGCTGCACAGGCTCTCCAGCAGTGGTCCTGTGCTGCTCTCATCAGGGCAGGTAGCTGCATGTGCTGGCAGGAGACATGGAGCACCTCTGCCCTCCCCACAGGTGGGAGCACCGTGGCTGATGCACAGTGATGGGCTCGATGCTGCCTGCTGTGGCCCACATTTCTGCCCATGCTGATGGGATGGTGCCCCAGGGCCAGAGGCCTGCTGCGGACTGGGAGCTGTGACCTGGATTTACACAGCCCCTTCTGACAACCACTGCTCTCCTCCTGCCTGGCCAAGAGTGTGGCCTGAGCACAGGGGCAGGTGGAAGCACATACTGTCCTGGTGGGGTCCCTGCTCCAGCTGTTGAGATCAAGGAACCTGTAGCTGCCACAGGAAGAGCTGCTCCAGAAAGAAAAGTGTGGTTTGTACTGCAGATGTGGCATACAGCAACTGCTCCAGTCTATATGTTATGCTTTGGCCAACCCTGTGAAATACCAGCTGATTTACTATCACGCATTTCCTAGGACTAACTTGGCTGAATACGTTTTATCCCATCTCTTTGCTCCAAGATCAGCCTGTTTAATGACACACACCAAAAAAAAAGAAATTGCTCTTTAAAGAATTCTCCCTCATGTCAAAATTGGACAAGGCAAAATAATTGGAGCTATGGTCTTTCAGGCAAAGGGAAAAACGTTCATGTCAGAATAATGGTGTTCACAGATGGTGAGTTTGTACATGGTCCAAAACAGAGCTTCATGGCAGTGCTTAGGGAAGAAATGTGCTTTGCTGAGCATTCCCAATAATCACAATAACTGGACATGAGCCAGCAATGTACGCTCACTCGCAGCGGAGAAAGCCAACTGTAATTCTGGGCTGCACCAAAAGAAGTATGACCAGGAGGTCAAGGGAGGTGATTCTGCCCCTCTACTCTGCTCTCATGAGACCCCAGCTGGAGAACTGCATTCCGCTCTGGATTCCTCAGTGCAGGAAAGACATGGATCTGTTAGAGTGGGTTGAGAGGAGGGCCACAGAAATGAACAGAGGGCTGGAGCCCCTCTCTTATGAGGGAAAGCTGAGAGAGTTGGGCTTGTTCAGCCCAACTGAAGAGAGGGCTCTGGGGAGGCCTTATCGTGGCCTTTCAGTACTTAAAGGGGCTTATGAGAAAGATGGGGAGAGACTTTTTAGCAGGGCCTGTTGCAACAGGACAAGGGCTAATGGCTTTAAGCTGAAAGAAGGTAGATTGGGCATAACGAAGGAATACTCTACAATGAGGGTGATGAGAGACTGGAACAGGTTGCCTAGAGAAGTTGTGGATGCCCCATCACTGGAAGTGGTCAGGTTGGATGGGGCTTTGGAGAACCTGGTCTAGTGAAAGATGTCCTTGCATATGATGGGAGGGTTGGACTAGATAATCTTTAAAGGTCCCTTCCAATCCAAACTGTCTATGATGAATCCAACTGTTCCATCATTGCCTCATAGTGCACACTTCACCATTCAGCTTGTGAGCCTTTCAGAAGTAAAGTTATTCGCAAGGAAAACAGAGTCAATGATGGACTAAGAGGTGATGCTGGCATCTATGGCAGGTGTTGCCTGTAAGTCAGAAATGAAGCCAAATATGCACACGGGTTTCTTTCACTGGGATGAAACTTTGCAATGCAGAAGTGTGCAGTTCTGCCTGTGGGAAGGACAGGTGCCAGCAAGCAGTACTCTCATTTCGATCCTGGAGACTGCAACAAGGGATCTGATCAGATACCTTTCAGGCAGAGATGTTTATACTGCAAGTGGACTGCCACTGTTTCCTCAAGCTGAAACGTCTACGCATGACCTTTTCCAGTTCTCCTTCTACACCAAGTCCACCTGGTCAGCTCAAACCAGTTTTATTACCAGGTTTAAATAACCTGGATAATTTCTCACCAAAGCAGAGGCAGAGAGATCATGTGCTCCATTCTGCAGTAAATTCTGTCAGAAAAACAGTAACAGGCAGCTGGAGTATCGGGGTGAATTCTCAGTTTTTTAACCATTTGCAGGGAAATGGTTGCTCTAAATGGCAGAAAGCTTTGCAGAGTCGGTACATCTCTACTCCTTGGTTCTGGTAATGTGCTTTTGCAGTCATACCCTTTTAATAACAGATGTATGTCTTGCTTGTGGTACCTCTTACTAGATCATCTGATCTGACTGGGGGAAACTGACCTGTGCTCAGGGGCTGCTGGAACCATGTGAGAGAGGAAGACCCAATAAAGAAATCTGAATCTTAACATGCTTCAACATGCAGACTTGAGCTGGAGCTTCAGGCTTTTATCTGGCAGTTAAATTAATAACAGACATCACTAATAGCCATGTATTTCAAAGCCCGCTTTTCAAGCATCCTTTAGTAATACCTGGAATTCCTGAAGTATCTTTACAAACGTGTGTAGCAGCAATGTTTTCTGATTGTGACTGGGTAGTGTTCTCACAAAGTGTGATCTCTCTTGGAAATGGTTCTAATCTCATTAGCCTTCCTTTCTCTCTAGACCTCTTCTCACATTGTCTCATCTAGCTGTTATGAAGAACTCTTCACAGCCTTCATTAGATGCAAGCTGTAGTTTCCACTGACAATGTGGAGTATGTTTTGGGAAACTACTGCAGCCCTATTGTTAAATACTGCTTAGGTCCTACAGTTACAATTTACTGGGAGAGAGGAATGGGGAGAAGACTTGAGGACTTGTGTAAGACAGCTTGCCCCCTCACCTGCCAGGACTTTCTTCCTCAGGCTGCTTTTACAAATAAAACCCTCCCCAGTCAGGATCTTGAGGAATTGCAGAGCTCCATCCTTCATCCTGCTCACCTGGGAAGGGCAAGGACTGTTTTCTCAGCTGAGGATAAGGCAGAAGGGGGTGGTCCCTGCTCCAGCCCTTGGGCCAGCTCCCTCCAGTCCAGCACAGCTGAGACCTTTCTTGTAGGTGCTGCATTGCTATAACTGAACCCTGCGGGCTCTCTGCATTGCTTCTTTCCCATGTCACTGATGGTATTGGAGAAGCTTGCCTCAGCCAGGGACTTTTCCTGCAACAGGGAAGCCCCGGGTCCTCTTCCCAAACTCGTAGCACCAGAGAAATAGGAATTAAGCAGGAGAGAGCTCTGGCCTGGCTGGAAATTCAGGGTGGTAATCTCCCAGGGTGAAATTAGCATTGAAGAAATTAAAAGAGAGGAAAATGCTCTAGTGTATATGACTAGACGTAGAAAAAAGTCAGTTTCCTCTGAGGAAGTGCAAAAGAGGTGCTCAGCTTCAGCCCTTTTTTCTTTGGTCTGAAGAGCTCCTAGATGTTCATGTCCCCTGTCCCACTGCATGCCTATTGTTTCAGAAAGCCCAGCCAGGGCCAGGAGGCATCCAGCACAGGGGAGCACTGAGCCCTGGCTCTGGGGCTGTCCCCACTGCTGTAGCTGTGGACTGGCCCCAGTGGAGTCCCTGTGTGCCTGACACAAGGCTTGCAGCAGGGTCTTACCCACCACCTCTGCTTTCCCCCCTCATTGCACGTACTAACCTGCACCAGGCTTAATGGCCACTGGATTGACCGCAGGTAACTCCAAGCTGGGTGCCAGCTCATATCCTTTCTCTTGCTGTTTTCCTTTGCCTTCATGGTACCTGCTGTAGATGCCACGGCCGGCAGAGTATCCCCCCAGGTAGGAGCCCCTGGGGCCAGGGGCTCTGTTCCCAGCCGCACCTCGCCCTCTGCCTCGTATGCTGCCTGCTTATGATAACAACATAGAAAAGGATGGTGAATAACAGAGAGCAACAGCCATGTGGGGAGCACTAATGGCCCCAGGCTGAGGTTGGGAGGCATGTGCTTAGAAATGATGCTGCTGAAGTTAGTTTGATCTGAGTCTTAGTGAACTCGCTTAGGAAAACAAGAGTTTGGCCTTAGAAGCACACAGCAAGCCTACACAAGTTTTGCTCTTGATGTTTCTGACCATGCATTAACAGTTTATTTATACCAGTGCAACTCTCATGGCTAGTGTTATAGGTATAATGCGCTCAGCAGAGAGAGAAGGGCTCCTCTAGGGTGATTTCTATGCAGTAGGAACAGCTTCTGCTCTCGGCTGTCCCTCAGAGGAGACTCAGTCTCTCAGCTGGCTATGATGGGACCCTGAAGAGATGGCCCAAAGTTGTACCTGGCCTTTAACCAGTGTTACCCCACCATTGCCTATATTTTTACTAATCTTGTTTGTTTTCTTTGCTATTTTACTAGTAATGTCAATATACCCCATCTCCGAAAATATTGCCTATATTTATCCTAGAGACTCCATGAACATGCTTTGGACACTGTGGTAGTAATGCAGTCTCTGTGGTGGCCTAATTGAATATTTAGACTGTCAGTTAATTCCTTTGTAGTTCATTGCAAGTGCAAATCTGGAAATTGAGAAAAAGCTGAAATTCTTGATCAGCTAGGGTTAAAAATATTTCTTGGTTTACATGGGTGCTTTAAGAATATATTTATGCTAGGCTGCCTGTTATACAGAAATACACATTGAATTTCAGGAAACTGTATTTCCTGTAAGTACAGGATAATTGTATTATAGCACCAGTTATAGCTGCTAGGTTTTTTTATTAATAACTGATTTTTTTGTTAATTTTTAATTAACAAAATTAATTAGTGACTGATAACTAATTAAAGTATACATAATGAAATAGTTATTTTGCACTCATATGAGTCTTCCTGCTCACAGTTCTCAAATGACTTTACAAAGGACACAGCACTACTGTCACTTTAATGTGGAAGGCAAGTGACACCTGGCGAGCTTCCAACTGAGGCTCTCCCTGACACCCCTCCTTTTGGATGTTCAGGTCACCGTACACACACCTCCAGGAGTAGGCAAAGGGAGGACTCTGTTATGACCTCTTATACTTAGGATCCAGCTCTTCAGAAAGAGACATCAGAAGCTGGAGTCCTTGGACTTGCTCAGACTTAGTACAGCACTCATAAAAACCAGATCCCTCTCTTCTCCATCCTGTGCTTGGTCCATTAGCTCGTTCTTAACCATATCTTTGATGTCCACTCACACTATCCTCTACATTAGCCACTATTTATAGACAAATGCACTCTGTATAGTCATAAATTAAAATGGCTCAGGCAGACTTTGGGTGGGTCACACCAGCCTGAGATCAAACCTGCCCATCATATCCCCTAATTGTGCTTACTAACCTTTCACAAAGTAATCTCTGTTGGGCCCAATCAAAGCATTGTATGGATATCCATAATACGCTAGTGTGTATGGATCACAAGAGTAAACATAATTAGGTTGCTGAGTTACTTCGGGCGTTGCTGCGGCCCCTCCTTTTGCTGCCTTCTGGTATCGAGTGTATTGTTCCTTGTCTACTGGCTTGGCCAAGGTAACCTCCAGGCACGAGCCTTCCAGTTCAACACCATTAAGGTTGTTCATGGCATGAATGGCGTCTTCCCTGGTTGTAAAGTGCACAAAGGCATAATCACGTATTTTTTTCACCCGCTCTACACAGCCAGGGTTAAACTGCCCAAAGACCTTTTTAATGGTGTCCTCTGTGGTCTCAATCATTAAATTCCTCACATAGAGGATTTTAACAGTCTCCATGACATCTTCATCCACATCTATCTCTGGTTCTGCCCAGTCAACAGCAATTTGGTGTCCCCACAGCTGGATCCTTCCTGGCATGAGTTTCCTCCTGGCCATTGCTGCTGCACGATGGCTCTCATACTCCACAAAGGCAAAGCCTCTGTTCTTCATCTTGTCTGCTGCGCTGGCATACACGATGACATCCAGCACGCCTTCTGTCACCTTGGCGATCTCTTCCAGGATCTCCTCTCTCTTCTTCATCTTGGGAATGCCTCCGATGAAGAGCCGGCAGTTATCCACGCTGCAGCACACCCCCAGCAGCCTGCCGGGGCGGATCTCATAGTTGTTCAGCTCCCTGACAGCACGCTTTGCCTCATGCTTCTGTGTGTACATCACAAAGGCATAGCCACGGTTCTTCCCATCAAAGTCCATCATCAGGCGCATTTCATAGATGCGGCCAACAGACTCGAACACGGGGACGAGCTCATCTTCATAGACGTCGCGGGGGATCTTGCCCACAAAGACCTCACAGCCGCGAGGAGGGTGCAGACCCTCCCAGCCGGGAGGAGGGCCCCCATACTTGCGTTGCCCATTCTCCTGGATCATGCTATATCCAGTGCGCGCCATGAGGGCCAGCAGAGCGGCCTCATTGGGGGCACCAGCAACACCTTCAGGGACTTTCGTGGTAGCCATGTTGGAAGAATCATTGCTCATCCTTGCAGTGGAGTCCTCAGCGGTCATGGTGTCAGACTCATTCACAGCCTGATAAAGCCTGGGCAAAGGAAGGAGGAGGACACCTGTTAGAAGCTGTTAGCTACCACCTAACCCCACCCCTCTGTTTCGTCTTCTTGTAGGTCTGCAAGGTTTTTTTTCAAACTGGGAGTAAGGCTGCAGAAAAGCAGATGAATGGACCACTCCAGCCTGAGCACTGATAATGTAGGAGGAGCGCTTCCTGGGTGAAGGCACAGCTGCTCTTTGAGGGAGGTGACTGAGGATCACCTGCCCATACTAACCCTGCACCAAGAGCTGCTGCCACAGGAGGCTGAAGTTGCATGAATGGATACCAACAAACACCTCAAAACCTTAAGACCCTAGGGAGGCTTGTCTCCTCTTTGAAAGAGTAGGAAGGAGCTGACACAGGATTGGGAAAGGCATGATACTGCCATGAAGCCAGTGGTTGCCACCTTCAGAGCCCTCTACTCCCTGTCAGTCGTTCCTTATTTAATCTACCTACTCAACAGCACAAGTGCCAGGTGCCACACTCCACAGTGAAAGATGACAAATGCATGAAAAGCACCAGGTACAGTTTCCATCTGACAACAGCCTCTCACTCCTCTAGATCTTCACAGTAACTGTCAAGTAGGAAATAGTAAGTGCTTTATCATCAGGAGGAACCAATTCTCTTGTGTAAAGGATGATCTGGCAAGACTCTGAGTTGCCTGCTGCTTGTGGTACAGTGTCTGATGTGTTTGTCTCTTCTGTTATTACAACAGGACTTCACATAAACAAAGGGAATTTCTCCCTTATGACAGACAACTTGCTTTAGAGCAAGCAGCCAGCACAGCCCTGGAAGCCAGCAAGAGGAAGGCAAATCTCAGAAACCTCATTCTGCATTTGAACACAGGCAGAGAACAGGAAATGCAGACATACAGGAGGAGATGACCATGGTAATGACCACAACTTCAAGACAGTGGGCCTCCTCTCTAAGCACAATTAAATAAGACACTTTGGGACTCTAAGAGTAGTTAATCCATTGACTTTTAAAGCTGGAAAGATCCATCAGACCATCTAATACGAGTGACAGTATATGACATGGACCATTACATTTTATTGTTATTTGCACATTGAGTCCCATAACATCTGAGTACATTGTACCTTACAGGAGGATGCTGGTTTTAAGGAATCAAAGAGCTATAGACCCCCCACTTCCTTCATGGCTTGTTTGTTAATCACTCCCTCAGACAAGCAAGCATGGTGTATTTCTCATAAGAATTTGTCTGGCTTTTGCTTCCAGCTAGGATTACTTATTAAACCTTTCTCTGATAGACTAAAAAGTCTTTCAAGACCTCTGCTTTTGCCTTGTAATCAAGCCACAACTCTGTCTTTCTTTTTAATACAACTTGCTAAACTCCTGAATTCCTTCTCAACAAGTCATTTTTTCACCTAAAATTGTTTTTGTGGCTCTTTCAATAGTTCTCTAGAGTTTCAGCCTTTTTCACCCTTGCTATCTACAGGGATGAAGATCACCCCTCTTTCTTCTCCCCACATCTCTGTATTGCCCAGGCCTGTTTCTCCAAACCTTCTCACTAGTAAACCATGTGGAGTTTTTTAGACAATTCTAATCCCAAATCCTTTGCAGAAGCACTGCTTGCTAGGGTTATGTCCCACGTGGCAGGCATGTCTTGTGTTTGTTACTCCTAAATGCCACAGCCTCATGTTCAGCTCTACTCCAACTGTCTTTTCAGTAGATTTCACCTACTGAGTACAACACCACTGACTCCTTCTCACTGTTTTTCACAACTCCATCAGCCTTTGCATCATCCACCGATTTATTTGCCATGATTTGCATTCATGACCAGTTTGTTGACTGTCAAAAAACACTGGCCCCTGTAGGAAACTCTTCAAACCACCATAAGAAATGTCTTGACAGGCTTATTTTCCAAAAAAAGGGCAAAGCTTCAGTGAGATTTGTTTATTCTGTGTAGTTGTGTTATTCAGTAGGACACAGGTTTCTTTCTGTGCCACAAGTACGCTGATGTATACCCTTTGTTAGAACAATTTCACCATCTTCAGTGCACTGGTCACCATGCAGGCAGGTCTTTCTACTACTAGTATACGGTAGTACACTACTAGTATACACTACTAGCGTACAGTAGATCCAAGTCCTCAGAAATATGGGTGAAAAATTTAGGCCCCTAGGTTTGATTTCTATGGTCTACAAAACCCCATTTAAATCCTATAAACCCTAACACCTCAGATTCTTTTCAGTAAAGCTCCTGAGCTGCCCAGAATTGTGCTGGTCTGTATCCAGAGATGCCTCTGCACCAGCCAGGGCAAACACTGCAGGGCCTGGTTCAGCTCCTAAGTGCATTTGAGACTGGGAAACCAGACATCTGTGCCTCAGTCTGTGGCAGAGCCTAATCCTGCAGGTGTGTTTGGGCCATGGGTTACACATTGATGCTTTTGAGCCATTTCAATTTAAAAACATGGAGAGCAGCGGGAGAGGCAGAGAAGATGAAGGGCAGTAATAGCGATGCTGATGCTCAGGCAATACTTTAGAAAATACAATTTCTTTGAAGTCAGGTCTTCTGTTGAAGGACACCAGTTTTGATAGCTTCTTGCTTTAGAATCTTATTGATAAACATGTATTATCTTGGATTCAAATGTTCCCCCTTTTTTTAATGTGTCACATTCAGACACTTTCATTTTTAATTATTTAACATAATTTAAAAAATAATAAGGCAGAGAAAAACATTTTCATTTTTCACTTGACAATTTATTCCTAAAAATGGAACTTCTCCTTTCCCTGAATGACAACAAAGCTTGTTACTTGAACACTTTACTGTGAAATAATCATTACCGTTACAGGGGCTGCCTGTTGGCAAGCGAATTACTTATCAGCCCAGGTTCGGGTAAGTTTAGAAATGAGTCATTACCATCAGTTTTAGGTCAGTTTACACAATAAAAGACTCTGTATTCTGTTATCTGCACAGCATAGTCACTGAGGCTACAGTCTAGAAACCTACAGGTACGCAACAGGACTGTGGAGAAAGCAGAGATGGCGCAAAGCCTCCCCTGGCCACCAGAAAGCAGCTGGTAATTCCATGGTCATCCAGGAATGAGCATATTCTCCAGCACTTTGCATTGCATCAGCAGGACAATTTCTAGTACTGGAAGTTGTACTTAAAGCGGCTGTTAAGTGGTAATGGCCACCGTTGCTGCAAACACTAGCAAGCACCATTTGTGATAGTGAATAATTAAAAATTCTTTGTGAACCTAAAATGCATTTATCCCTATGTAATCTACTGGGAACCAAGATCCATGGTCAAATGTGTTCAGGTTTTTTTCTGTGCAGCTCCACAGTGCTGGATCTCTTAAGTATGTACTACCTAAGACCAAGTGTGGTTAATGCTAGAAGAGTCAAAAACCTAAGCTACATTAAAACATAGCATCTTGTGAAATATGAGCGCTTTTTTCCTAGTCTATGAGGAGGAAGGTCCACCTGATCTTGATAGCAAAGATTCATAGAAGAGAGACAGACAAAAATATCAGTTGCTAACGAGAAAGGTTGTGCTCTGGAGACAACCAAGTTCTGGATGGCTCATTATCAGGACTGAAATAAGAATGGCTTCTTTCCTTCTCAGAAAAAGGTAAAGTCTGCTTGACTGTTCGATGGCACATCAGATGGGTGCTAACATCTGCCAGCTTACCAGGAGCCAAGGCTCTGCTCCAAGGCCTCTCCCTCATGCAGGTGACCTCTCACATGTAGATGTTTCACTGAAACCATTCACATTTCACTTCCTCTTGCTTACCAGACTCCTTCCCTGTTGCCAGACTGGCAGGTGTAAATAATCCTTGCCCTAAACATTAATCACCTTCTTTTTAACCTCTTTTTTCACATCACAGCTCAGAATATTAAATGAGAAACTTACTGTGTTGGCAAGTGACTGACCTAAAGCATACTGTGAGCAGGCTGATTACCTGAGGCAGGTCTTTTATTAAACAGAAATACCACACCTTTATTAACAGCATCACAGTGCCAAACTCTGATGTCCCTTGTGCCAGGGCAAGGGCAGCTCATGGCCCTGGTGAGAAAGCGATGCCCACAGTCCATATAGATGGTCTTGGGCTTACTCCTGGCTTGTCTAGCACTGTGCAGTGCCCCGTGAAGTTACACATCGCCTGCTCCTCTGTTGATCCATACATGGTAATACAGGCTTTTACAAACACAGGGACACAGCCAGTGTCCTTGTGGCAGAAACCACGTGTCCACTCCACTCACGTGCTCACTCCACTCACATGCTCCTATAAAACAGGGCTGTTTATGTTTGTGCTTAATTCATCCCTCCAGTTTTGTGTTACATACAGTTAGTGGCATCATGTGTCCTTCCGTGGGTGACACAGCCACCGGCAGTCACATAACATGGGGATGGGTTCCAGCACCATGGCAGGCAGCAGGAGAGCCAGGGGAGACCTGCTGGTTCTGTGATAACAGAGATAGGAGGAAATGGGGACACCCATGTCCCACCTGCAGACTGTGGGCCATATAAACTCCTGCTGAGCTCACACCGCAGGCCCTCACGGACACCGCATGGCTGCCTGCTTTCTTCAAGAAAACACCATGGCTTTGGATTTTAAGCAACAGCTTCTGCAGAGGGGAGGTCAATCACTAAAATTTTATAGAATCATAGAATGGTTTAGGTTGGAAAGGACCTTAAGATCATCTAGTTCCACCCCCCCTGCCATGAGCAGGGACACCTCACACTAAACTAGGTCTCCCAAGGCTCTGCCCAACCTGGCCTAAATCCACCCTGTTGACAGCTACTGGTTTAAATGTGACCTTCCTAGGCTTTTAGTTGAAATAATAAGGGCAAATGGTGATCCTGCTGCTGAGGTTGAGCAGCAGCTCTGGAGGCATGGCTGCCATTGAAGCTCTTTATTTTTAAAAGCTGACTGTTTTCTCATGGCAACTTTAGATACATAAAATGTATATAAATACAACAGCTTACTAAGAACAACTG